ACTCGGACGTTGACGACCTTTTTGGAGAGAGCGGTTTTCTACATGACCTATTTGGGCGACCCACAAGCCATCCATGAACCGTGACCGGACCATTCTAATGGACGAGACCGCTGTCTATTTTGAGGATGCTCGAGCTCACACGTTGGAGCACGCCACGCCGTCATTCGTTCTACCGGGTTCTCGTCCATGAGAATTACTGCGGCGCTTGCAGTAACAGCGTCAGGGAAGAAGCTGCCGCCGTCTCTTATCTGGAAGCGAAAGACGCGGGGTCCAATTGAGCGTGTCGGCGGGTGCTACGTTGCTTATCAAGAGAGAGCCTGGGTGGACCAGAACCTGCTCCTCAACTGGCTGGATTGGTACTCTCCTGAAGTAGCCGAAACGACTGGACAATATGTCGTCTGGGACTCGATGCGGGTGCATATTGCCAAGAAGGTCAAGCAGCGATGCCAGGAGAAGGACGTCGGCATGGTCGTGATTCCAGGAGGCTTGACGCCCTACTTCCAGGAGTGATGTCGGAATCTACAAGTCCTTTAAGGACAACCTGTGCAAGATCATCAATGAGTGGAAACACTCGGACCAGGTTCGCTACACTAGAGGAGGGAACCCTCGCCCGCCTGAGGTTGAATTGGTCGCAGCATGGGTAATGAAAGCGTGGCGAAAGACGCCAGGCTCTGTCGTTGCGAAAAGCGTTTCGATCTGTGGCTTTAGCGACGATCCTACTTCGTGGCATGTTACTCGCCACGACGTGTACGGAACCAAGTTCCGCGTGGCTTGGGAACTTCGTAGCCACGACAGTGCTGACGTCGATAGCGGAAGAGTTGACGACTGTGAAAGTTTCGAGCACATCATGGAGACGCTGGACGACATCGTCATTGAGGATTAAGCAGCAGCAAAATATATGTTAGTCGAGCTTGCAGCTAGGTTAATAACAATACACAAGGAGACCTACCATTTCAGCACGGAGAATTAACGTATTCGATGGGAATCGAGCCCGCGACAACCCTGCTCCCACTTGGGGCCCTCAATAAACCCTGGTGTCTTAACCACCTGAGCTGTCAGTGCTGGTGATGTCGGAAAAGAGTGCGCATAAAACAGAGTGCGCAATTTCGATTTTACCGCACTCTAAAAAATAGAGTGCCACACTCTAATTCATATTATACGTTAGTTTGAGCTCGCTTAAGTACGATCTGGGCCGTCAGGAAATTTGTAAGCGCAAATTCGGTCGGAACTCACAATAAAAAAGCGGTCGATATGGCCCATTTAAAAGGGATAGGTTTTAAAACATGGTTTGTATATGGTTGCGAGATGTACTGTATTGTATCTTATTAGTTTACAAGTATTACGAGGTGTAGTAATATAGGCTAAAAATACATATACAAACATGTTACCTGGACCGACGAAAACGAGTTACTGTCGAAGAGCTTATCAACTGGTTTAAGGCAAAATTGCGATGGGTGTCAATCTACAAATATGAAGCATGTAAAACATGAAGACGAAAAAACACGGGAAGCTTGAAAACCGACACAAACACGCTTAAGCAGGTTGGTCGGCCTGAGCATTGAATGATTTACCTACTCAAGTCAATCAAGCTTGTTTTTCAGATTAACATGCTCTGGATGGTACCATGTTTACCATTCAGTCTCCACATTTGAGTCTTCCCTCTCTAATTCGTCCACGATGTTGCCAGGGATTCCAATCACAGGTGTCGACTTCAGAATGCGTATTGACACGAACGCCGAGGGGAAATATGGCACAACTTCCTCAAAAAGTGTAGATGGAGGCCAAAGACGATCACTCAACAGTTGGCGATAGTTCAAATCACCCTTCAGAACTACTAGTGTCGCCTCACGGGCGACACGAGTCTGCAACTCCGCTGGCATCTCCCAGTAGTAAGTATATTGATTCCAGTACGTGTCTGGGCGGGTGACGATCTGTCCGTTGCGGGAATACTCGGCCAATCGCTTGCCCAGAGACCGCACCTCTGTAGTGCGGGTATCACGCTGCATCTCCAAAATGTGTTGATCCACGTCGGCAGCCATCACATCCGACACGTAGATGGGCTCCGCTTTGACGTTAAAAGTCACCTTGCCACACCAATTGTGTGTCAGCATGTGATCCGCCATCGCCAGGTCCAGCAAAAGCTCTGACCCGATGTTGTCGCTGATATACTCAACACTAAGGGTTTTCGCCCCGTTATTGCGCGCTTTTTGCTCCAGGAACGTCATCACTTGATCGCTGTGATCCACGAGCACCAATTTGTCGTCAAAGACCAGTGAGTCTACAGCAGCGTGCATGGTAGATTTCACTTGTCGTTGGTGCCATCTGCTTTGTTGCCCCATAGAGAGAATATCATAAAGCGCTTGAACTGGTCGCGATGGCTCTGCGGACCGGATCCTACTTGTGTAGAAATTTTTACCGCCGCCTGAAGCACAGACCACGGTGTGTCTCCTTTTAACTCTGCCACTTTCGAGTAGTTGAACGGGTCGAAGTGCGTTGAGTAGTAGCTTGTCATTAAAAGGATCAAGTGGAACATGTATTGCTCCACCAGGAACCATGGCGAGTTTTGCCACCTGTAGCCCTTGCCAGCCAGTAAGCTCTCCCAGTGTTTGCTGGTAGGTGATTTGGCAGCTTGTTCGGGGAATATGGAGGGTAGCGGAACCTCTGCGTTGTTAACCAGGTCGTCGGCCGGCTGCAGCAGACACGTAACCGCTTCGGCCGAGAGGTGATCACCATTGTTGGAAACGCAGTCGCGCAATACCTGTGGCATACGCTCCGTGCATGTCGTGTGCGCGAACGTGTCCTGCACATTGGCGACGAGCTCATCCAGCTGCTGCACTCGTGTGATGTATTCGTCCGAGACGCTCATGCTGCTGCAGAGTCGAGGTTGCTGCTATTAGCGAAAAGTGATTATGACTACAACCTGAGATTGTCGTTGGAGTAACGTCGTCCAGCTAACGCATCTTTGATGGCTCAATCAAAGATGCGTTAGCTGATGCTCGTTATTGAAGTTGAAATATTATGCTGCATGACGGTTACATGATATAAGTAAGTACATGTAGTCTGACATCCACTACAGTACTGTACTTCATACTTGTAATGAATTGTTAGTTTCTTTCACGTTTTTCACTTTGTTTGAAATTATTGTGCGCTCTACTTAAAATAAATGAGCGCGCACACAATATTAATACATGTAGCGCAAATCTGCTGTATGAACTTTTTTTCCACTTAAGTACGATCTGAGCCGTTTCAAAATAGGGAAATTTGTGTTGAATTGGACCAAAACGGCAAATTTGGTCGGAATATGTGTCGATTATGTGTTCTCGGCGGAAACGGTTGACTTCTTCATATTTGATGTATTACGTGGTGCTATCAGTCCAAAGGTGTGTTTATGCATTCCAAGCTGCAATCTTGGTTAGACCGTGAGTGGCACTGTCAAAGGCGCATTCACCATGACAGTCTCAGCAGAGTTCCTCGCGCGCGTGTACGCAGGAGAGGAGATCTTCACCAATGTCCCTGGCACTTTCGCCAATGAATCCTACACGTCTCGGCTACCGGGACTTGTCCGCGACTGCGTGGCCAGCAACCGTGAACGGTTCTCCGAGGAGCAGTGCGAACGTCTGCTGCAACTGGCCGACGACATGATGAATGACGCCGTGATCGCGTTGCTCTCTCAATATCCCGAACAAGCTGCCAAGTCTCCTACGAGCGCTCAATGGGAGAACCTACTCAAGGGTAAGAGCTACACGTGGCAGAACTCGCCGTGGTTCTTGAGCGAACAGTATATGTTTCATCTGGTACTGCTGCTGGCCGAGTACTACACGACGGGCATCGACCCGTTCCATCCTTCTAAAGTGGCGGAATTGAAAGAGGTGACACCTTGGGCGTTGCTTCAGACAGCTGTGGGTTTATCGGCTCAGGAGGAGGCGAGTTCTCAGAGCCGTCACGACCAGCTGAAGCGGTTCATGAAGTTGTGTTTGTGGGGCAACAAAGCAGACGGATGCTACAAGGAAGTGAAGGACACTCTCAGCGAAGCGGGCGCTTCTCTTGTGTTCGACGATGAGCTGCTGCTTGTAGATCACAGCGACAAAGTGATTGATTTCTTGGGGCAGAAGGCACGTGAGGCAGACGCAAAGTCTCTGAGTGTGCAATACATTAACGACAACAGCGGTACTGAGCTTTTGTTGGATTTGGCCCTGGCAGATCACTTACTGGCCCATGGATGGTGCGGTAAAGTGACGCTCAACGTGAAGGTTGAACCGATGTACGTCTTGGACGCGACACCTGCGGATATGCATGAGCATATAGAGGAGATGCAGCGCGATACCTGCTTGCCGGAAGTTCAGGCTCTGGGCATGCGTCTGGCAGGGTACGTCCAACGGGATCAGCTAGAGATCCGGCCTGACTTTTTCTGGAACCGCTACACCTACTACTGGGAGATGCCCATTGAGCTACAGACTCGTCTTGCTAAGGAAGCGAC